CGCGCCGCCCCGCGTAGGTGCGCCGGCTGCTCCCCAGCGCCTTGCGCTCGGGCGGCCTTCGGAACAACAGCGATCTCTTGGGATAACTTAGGAAATATTTCCGCACCGGTCCTCCAGAGCCAGGGAAACAAAATGATGCCTATTCGCTTAAACCTTTTTTTTTTTTTTTTTCTTTTTTTCTTTTTTCCCCCGTTTCTAATCTCTGAGCTCTTTAATCTGAAGGTTGGGAAGCTCTGGGGGGACACGGCTGCTTCCATACGTTCAGCTTTGCTGGCGAGAGCTCATTTAGCAACGCGTCTCATGCCTTCTGCATTTATAAACACACATGACTTTATCAAGATAATTGAGATGAAGTTCATTGTAAAAAATGCTTTGTTTAAAGAGCAACCATTAAAATGAAGGACCCGTAAATATTTACGAGCAGTTCGGTTAATTCAAGATTAAGGGGAGAGCTGAGAGACCTGGTGTTTAATGTTTTTTACCTCTATTTAAAAAAAAAAAAAAGGCAAAAGCATGCAGTGCCAGGAAAAGGTGTTGCATTGCTTCCCATCCATTGTCGAGAAGATACCTATAATTCTTTTAAAACAGGAAGAACCGTGGTATAATAAAACCATTGAGATGGCTAGACGTCTGGACCTAATGAGTTTACGATATGCTATGGCGCTTTTCTTTGAAACCACCTTATTTTGATGTTTGTGTTTGTTAGAGGGGGGAAAAAAGCCAAAAAATGCAGACAAACTAGGTCTTAAAATCTTGGACTATAAATTTCAGTATGTCAGCGTTGGGCCAAGGCAACAGACTCGAAAAAGACCCGAAGGTCACGAAACTGAGAGGTTTTACAAAGCCCACTGATTTGTTGAAATGTTTTTTATTGGATATTCTACTGCGGTGAATCCTACGATGTTAGCTTCCATATTTTCGAAAATAATCATGGAGGGGGCTGATCTCTATCTAACACGTAAACAATATTCTTGCCACACAATGCTATATTATGTTGATTCTAGCAGAGGCCCTGGTAAGAAATTGTCAACAAGCTCACACCATCTCTTTTTAATATTTTATCTCAGGCAGATTGACAGATATTACCTTGTATATTTTCTCCCCCCCCCTTTTGTTTACCTATTTCCAACATTCTGTGCGTTTATTTCAAAATGGCAGAAAGAAAACCAAACGTCTCGAACGACGAAACGCAGTTCTTCGATGGAAATGACTTTTAGTGTCAAACTGAACAATAATTTAATTCCTACCCGTTGGTTGCGTTAATATATGTTTGCACATATGCACAGTCGCGTGCACACGCACCCGCACTATACCGAATAATTCACAGGCATGTGTAATGGGGGGGGGGGGGGGGAAAAATCACACCCCCCCCGCGATACCGAGAAATACCCGGGGAGTGTTAAGGGGGGGGGGGGGGGTGAACAAAGATTCGTCTTTACTTTCGTTTACATAAATCAATCCATAAATACATAAATGCACGGGCAAACAAAATAACACGTTCAAGACAAAAACGTATAACGCTGAAACTACCACACATGGAGAATTCGTGGTGTAATATGTGGGGAAACATGATCGAAAACGCGATAGCAGCGGTCTTCAAAGCTCAGGCGTCTTTCCTGGCTGCCATGTGTAAACGAGGCGCATTCTTTGTATGTAGTTAATTATAGCACTGGGGAAAAAAAAAAAAGAGAGCAGCCGAAATGTGCTAAGAAAATGGCACTGTAAACTCCGACCGACAACAGAAAAAAAAAAAAAAAAAAAAGGAAAAAAAAAAAAA